CCGGTGCCGCCCCAGGTGGCCGGGCCAGGCCGGGCCCTGCCCTTTCAGCGCCGCTGACTTTGGCCTTGCCCAAGCGCTGCCCCAAACAGGAGGAGGGAGAGCGGGTGGTTTGAGGCCGTGGAGGGCTGGGGTCGGGGACTGGGCTGGGGCAGTGCTGCGAGCAGCCGGCGACAGCCTCTCACCCCGAGGTGCTGCCGGCGCAGGAGAGAGGAGAGCCAGGAGGGTTTGGTGGGTTTGATTATCTTGAGGGACGGTCCCCATGGCCGTTTCAGCAGAGTCTTTTATGAGGGAAAGGGGAGACCGCTTTCAGTTTTTTCCCCCAGATATAAACCTCAGAGGATAACCCAACCAGAAGGGGCTGGGAGCATTGCCCAAGCCGCTTGATTATTGGTTTAGGACGAGAAAGTAATCGATTTTTTTCCCGCATCTTGCTGACAGACTTTCTCTGCCGGGAGCCACCAGGTTCTGCAGTACCAGAGGAGCCAGGCTGGTAGGAGCTGCAGAGCTGGGGTAAATGCGGTTGTTATCGCCTTGGTCTGGTACTTCAGAAAATAAATAAAAATAATAATAATTTAAAAAATCACGGAATTTTAGGGCCGGATTAAAACTCCTTTTGGCCTCAATTTCCACATAAATCTGTTTCTAATGAAGAGGCGTTTCCACACGCAAAATCTTGGGTTGTCTCCCGCAACACTAATGACAATAACGCTGACAGAGCCTGCGTTATTTTCTGGTCTATAATGTAAGCTCAGATATGGCTGTGCTGGCCGTACACAAGGCTAAATAACCAGAAAGAATGGCACAATGCAGCTACCTATTTACACGGGGCGATTGCCTTCCTGAAGGCAATAAACTCATTATTTCATAAAAGGGTATATTTGAACTTCGTTCCTACCCACTCATTTTCTTGCGATGTCTGCTCGCAAGGGCACTGTGGGACACATGATTTTGGATCCCTAAGCGGGCAGAGATGCAGTCATCTTCCCAAAAGCTTTCCAGAGATCCCCAAAGGTAATGTTCGGGTGGTGTTTTGGGAGGGAAAATGAAACCCAGCCCATCTCGGAGGCGGCATTTCTCGCCGTCCAGAATGGCTACCCTTGCCGCATTGCCCATTTCAGACAAAACCTTGCCTCGCCTTGACGGGGTTGCTGCCAGGGGAAAGCAGGGGTGCGGCTGCGCAGGGTGGGAGCTCCCTGAGGGTCGGGGTGAGCACCTGGGCATCCACAACCTGAGGCACTACCCCTGGGTCCCTCCAAGTCGTCGAGACGTCCAGCCCCGTAATGGGAAATGGTGCATTGCGGACAATGGAAGTCTCTTCATTCTGTAGCGTTTCCCTAATTAAAAAAACTAGAAGCAAGCTCAATGGTGCAAGCCAGGAGAAAAGAAAAAAAACAAAAACAAACAAACAAAAAAAAACCCACAACCAAACCACAGATCCACAGATAAAGCCTCTTTTCTTATTCTGTCCTGGAAATACATTAATTCGGCTACAGTCCATGAGAAATGGACCCTTTATGCCGTCATTCCCTATCCTAACCAGCCCCAGTACAACCAGTCCCTTTATTACATGGGTGATGTGAAATCCGAAGAAGGTCCTCGGGCGAAAAGATGTGAAAGGCGATGTACTGTTTATCAAACGTATCTGACCCACGATGATGGCTGATTGTAGAGCTTCTAGCCTAAAATCGCCTACGGAAGGACCAAAATCAGAAGAGGTAGGATCTAAATTGTGATGTGATGCTAAAGTACGTGTGTTATGTATCTGTGTATGTGCCTGTATATAGAGAGGCACATATTTCAGCAGCGCCCGCTGTGTGCAACCGTGTGTGCACATACACACACACGCAGACGTGCATATCTGTGGGCTAAAACTGTTCACAGACACACAGGCGGTAGAAAATCGTGCATGATTTCACGCGTGCCCATGCCCCAGGTTTCAGCCGTTCCTCTGGAACAGCAGGCGACGACACACAACTGCACACACACACACACGCACACGCGTGGCAGAGCTGCAAACACAGAATGCGCGCTGCCTGTGCGGCTCTGCCTGCGCGCACCCGCCTCACCCGCCCTGTGGGCACATGTGTGCGCACACGCGTGTGCGGCACGCTGGCTGGGAGGGCTTGCAGGAGATGCGCCCAAGTGAGGTGGATGTACCCCCCGCCCTCCGGCTGGATTATTTCGGGTGTCCTTTCCCCCCGTCCCTGCTTTGCGGGTACATGGGGTGCGGTGCGGGAAGGGCCGCGTCGTCCCCCCCCAGCATGCAGGCGGCCATCCATCCCTTTATTTATTCCAACATAAACATCTTTGCATTCCGACCGCAGCCCTAACGTGATAAAGCCCTTCCGAGGGGACTCTCCATTCCTCCTCTTTTGATAAGGCTGCAAACGCAACTCGGCTTGTTGGGAATGGCTCTGGATGCCTTTGTGCTTCCTAAAAGAGCATAAATAATTAAGGTTTGGCAGGGAGGAAAAGCTTTCTTGCAGAACTGTAGTGGCAATAAATGAAATGACTCAGAATCTCTTCTCCAGTCGGTTTTTACGAGAGCTGCCAGACAGTGTCTGTTCACGTTCTCCAGATACTAGGGGCGCCATAACAAAGTTAAGGTCAAGTTAGTGTCTTATCTTGGGTGGCACAAAACACCGCATCTTCTCCAGCCGGACTGGGTGGATTTTTCAAACCCGAATGTTATGCGAGTCGCCTTGATTTTCAAGGAGGGCTTTTGGAAATGTCACTTGGACCTGAATCCTTGGTAATTCCAGGCAACGGCTGCAGATGTTTCAAGACGCCTAACGGTAAAGTATTCGCCTGACTGTGGACATGATGTGCATTTATGTTTCTATGCTGTCTAATCTGCTTGAAGGGGAAAGAAAAAGGGGGGTGTATATGTAATGCTCAGAGCTGGGCTGGGAACCGACCCCAGGATGAAAATGCTGTGGCAGGCAGGGACCCCCAGCTCTGCCTTATTCCAGCGGGGTCTCTGCTATGGTATTGGTCTCACATTCTCCAAATTAGATTGCTCTTTAAGGGACTGTTTCCTAAAAGGGCTTAGTATTAACAAATCGTCGCCATGTCTTTGAACTTGAATTAGTTGAAACCGGTTGGCTCCTGCGCCAAAATTTAACTGGTGCTAGGCTTGCTGCATCGAAAGGAAGGTGAAGGGTTCTGGCTAAGGCGTTATTAGTGTTTGAACGGGAAAGAAAATGAAGCTCCATAGGTTCCCAGAGCCATCTCTCCTGAGGAGATAGGCGATGAGAAACCTGGGGGCACAATCCAAACGGGTCCCTGCCCTGCTCTGCTGCAAGCTCGGGGTGGTAAGTGACACAGGAGCCATTTTAACTGCGCAGGCATCGTTTTTAGGAGGTTGTTCATGTGTTGCATCAGAATCGAAGGGGCTCGAAAGTTATCTACAAAAGAAGGGAGTGGTGGTTTTGTGCCTTGATTTCTGGTGATAGCTCGCGAGGGTCTATCTGCTGCAACCAACGTGTGGCGTCTAAGATGGCTTGCAGGCGAGGCACCAATACAAAACCCACCATATTGTACAAAGAACAGAAAAAAGATAAAGGGAGGAAAAGGGGGAATGAGTTTCATCTTATCTGCTTGGCTTTGGTCTTTTGCTTTTTAGAAAGGGCAAGCTGGGCTGGGGTGAGGAAGCCCCTTGGGCAGCCCTCGCATGCTGTGGGGGGCCGGAGGATGCAGGAGGGTCAGCGCCGGTGGTGGTGGAGCGGAGGGCAGGGTGCGGGGAGCAGGGCGAAGGGAGCAGGGTGCAGGAGGCAAGGAGCAGGGCCCTGGGGGCAGCCCGTGCTGCGGGGCTCCCCGCATCGAGACCCTCAGCGGCGTGGAGCAGAGGTCGCGCTGAGGCCCCTGTCGCAGCGGGGCCGAGCCCTCTGTGGGCACGGCCGCCTTGCAGAGCCAGGGAGCCCTCGGGCCTTCCCCCGGTTTGCCTGTGATCTGGGGCCAGTTCTCTACCTGCCGGGCTCTCTGCATGCTGTGGGACTAGGCGGCTGCCTTTCTGGAGGTGATCTGGGGCCTGCCGCCTGGCCGGAGCTCCCGGAGATCGCCTGGGTCCAGCTGGTGGCCCCCTCGGCGTGAGGAGCTCGCTCAGATTTTGGGTGTATTTGGAGAGCGGCATGTGGCGAGGCTGCTCTGGCTATGCTGTACAGTGGTGGAAAAAAGGCATTCCCATAGAGAGCTGGCAAACGTATCTGGAATGAGGGATTGCTCGAGCATAGGGCTATTGCTGGAGCGTATTATTTATTCTCTTCTTTTTTCAGCCTTTGTGACCTGGGTTGTGCTCGTGTATGTAAAATAATATTTCAAGGCGAAAAAGAAAATTGACAAAAATGAGCCCTCGAAGGCAGGGCGGCCGCGGGGCTGGCGGCTGTTGTGCGTGTCGCCCGCTCCCAACCCTGCTTTTCCCTTCCAATGAAAATGGACATTTTGGTGGGAGTTGGAGGCACGGGAACAGAGGTCACTTTGTGTGCTGCTTTGCTTCCCAAGGAAACCGTGCGGGGTGGACCTCTCTTGCCTCCCTAGCCCTCTGCTTTCCAGAAGAGCCCGAAAGTGTCTCCCTTTCATAAAAGCGGTTTCTGAGAGATGTTCTGTTTGCGTATCTCTGATCTCAGTTTGTCTCTGGCGCCCTGGCACAAGCGCGCACTGTTTGGGCTTGTAAGCTGGGGAAAATGAGGTGATCGGGACTCGAGCTCTGGATTTTGTGACCGGTTCTGATGCCAACTGTTGATTGCTGGACCCGGGCGGGCTGATCCACACGTGCGAGTGGCACTTGCCTTTCCTGAGTGAATCACCATCCGCTCGCTCACCATCTGTGCGAGCGGCGATGGCCGGCGAGCATCGCTCCCGCTAACGAGGAGCCACCGAGCTCCAGAGCCGGGGGCGCCCGGCGGGCTCCCGCTCCCCTGGGGCTCCCTTCCCCGACGGGCGGGCCGGGCAGTGATGCGGGCGGGGGCTACTAACCGCGGAGTTCCGCTCCGGTTTGCAACAGCGGTGGGCAAGCACCCGCCCCGGCGGAGCGGCCCCAGGTGATCACCGGTACCACCGACGTATACCTCACCGCCGGGGGAAAGGCTGAGGGTGAAAACCGGCTGTATTTGTACAAAGGCTGCTCTCGCCTCTCCGTGCTGGGAAGGCTCTTTGGAGCGGTGTTAGGAGCCTTTCCGAGGGGCTGATATAGATATAAGGACATTTCTGCATCGCGTCACGTGACATAATTACCACTAGAATCAATCAAGATGAATTGCACGTCAGCACACGGTGGGGATTTTTTCTTAGTTGATCCTGTCCAAACCCTCTTGTGCAATAGATGGATCTTGTTCAATGCATTGAAGCCTCCTGGTTGCTTGCAATCGCAAAAAGGAAGACATGACTGAGTTTGACGATTGCAGTCACGGCACTTCCAATATGTATCTGCCAGGGTGCACTTATTACGTCTCACCCTCAGATTTCTCTACGAAACCCTCTTTTTTGTCGCAGTCGTCGTCCTGTCAAATGACTTTTCCTTATTCTTCCAATTTACCTCATGTCCAACCTGTGCGCGAAGTGGCATTCAGGGAATACGGATTAGAGCGCAGCAAATGGCAGTATAGGGGCAGTTATGCTCCTTATTACTCAGCTGAAGAGGTGATGCACAGAGACTTTCTGCAGCCTGCGAACAGGAGGACGGAAATGTTATTCAAAACGGACCCTGTCTGCGGCCACCACGGACCGTCTCCCGCCGCCTCCAACTTCTACAGCTCGGTGGGGAGGAACGGCATCCTGCCGCAAGGCTTCGACCAGTTTTACGAGGCAGCCCCCGGACCCCCGTACCAGCAGCACTCCGAGGGCGAGGGGGACGCGGACAAGGGCGACTTGAAAGCCCAGAACAGCACTTGCAGTAAAACACCTTCCAGCCAAGAGAAGAAAGTGACACCAGCAAACAGCGCCGATTCCCCTTCTGGTGAGGCTGTTGCAGAGAAGAGCAACAGTTCAGGTAGGTATCAGTAGTAAATTGGGGGCAAGAGTACAAGGCCAACACTTTGTCAAGCCTCATTTTATGTGCAATTTTATAAGCATCCAAAGGATTTTATATATCCTATAAGATTTCCTTTACCGTTGTAAAGCGTGTTTACGATAGGAAACCAATTTAGGTGGGCTTAAGGTATTCTTGGAAGAGGATATTAATTGTTATTAAATTGTTGATTTGGCGGGGGGAGACGGGGAAATTTCACAGGTACTGCTCAGAGCTGCCTTCGGTTTAGAGCTTAAGATCTTCGTTTGTTTGGGGCGGGGGGTGGGTGAGAGGAGTTTGAGAAACTTGGAATTTTTCCAGCCCATTTAAATATCTCTCTGTGTTGCTCGAAGTGCTCTCTTTTAAGGAGAAGTTGGAAAATATTCGCTTTTTTGTTAACTCATCCAGAGAGCAAAAGCCCAGGGAATATTTTTTCTTTTAACTGTTAGAGGGCTGTTATCCAGGCAATGTGATATTGTCAAAGTCTGACCTCTTCCTAGCTAAGCGTGTTCGCAGCAGCACAAATCAGTTTCTTCTCTCTTGAATTTCAGCAATTCCCCAGAGATCAAGGAAAAAGAGGTGTCCCTATACCAAATATCAGATAAGGGAACTGGAACGGGAGTTTTTCTTCAACGTGTACATAAACAAAGAGAAAAGACTGCAGTTGTCCAGAATGCTCAACCTCACTGACCGGCAAGTTAAAATCTGGTTCCAGAACCGAAGGATGAAAGAAAAGAAACTGAACAGAGATCGACTCCAATATTTCACTGGGAATCCCTTGTTTTGAAAGGAATAAAAAATTAAAAAAAAAAATAGAGAGCAAGAGAAAAGGAAGAAAGAAGAAAAAGAATATCTCGGTCTCTTTGACCTGCCATCTGAATGCAAAAGTAAATTGGTTTACATGACACATCCACCCTGCGGAACTCAAAGTTTCATTTTCATATGCAACTCCACACACTGAATGGCCACTGGAGATTTTGGGGCTTGGAGGAGCAGATTCCTGATAAGGGGAAACTAGGACAAATCCAACTGTCCACTCTCCAGTGTTTCTCGCCAAAGGTGCTTTTTTTCCTCTCTCACAGTGCCAGCAATGGACCTGCAGTGTGTCTGGTAGTTTTTGCTTACAATTCATTGAGTTCTGGGGGGGGGGGGGGGGGGCCCTCTGTTGTTGCTTTTGAGCTAGGGTACCACTTTCCTCCCTTTAAGTGAATGCGGTTTATTTAAGAGATGGTAAATGTACGTTCGCTATATATAAAATATATATATATATGTTTCTATTGTCATCGAAAAGCATGGGCCACTGTCTTTTTCATGTGAATAAATGGTTTCTAGTAAAGTTAAGGTTATAACTTCCGTGCACTCTATGGATTTCCATCTCCAAAGGATTCTAGCTCTTCCCGGGTTAGAGCCAAGTTCAATTGAATAATAATAGGAAGCTGCCTAGTCGGGTTATTTTGAACGCGTTTAAATCAAGATTAGTTTAGATGTGTAACTTTCTCTTTGTAGGTATGCGTAACCTTCTCTTTTCGCCGTGAGGCAGAGCCGGTATGGCTGGCTGCAGCCCATCACTTCTGATGGGACTGCAACTGCTGTAAACATCGAAAAAGGCTTTTATTTTTAATTAAAATAACAATAATTGACAGTCTCACAGGAAGGCCAGAATCCCCAACGCCAGTGGCTGTTTACTTGTTAGTGAAGAGAGAGGCAGAAAGACGGAGGGCTCGGAGCGAGGCAGACAAGAGGGAGCTATAAACAATTGGCACTAGTTGGGGGGGGGAAGGAAAGGAAAAAAAAAAAAGAGACCCTTTTGGAGGCAGACGGGTGGATCTCTTGGATGCCGTTCCTGGGGAGGGCGAGCGGAGAGCCGGGAGCGCAGCCCGCGGCCCCATCCGCGGCTGCGGCGGGCCCTGCGCGGGGGCCGGCATCCGGCAGGGCTCTGCTCCGCGCCGCTTTATCTTGCGTGACCTGGCTGGGCTGTTTACAAAACCTTGAACTGTCTAGACAACACCATAAAAACCGAGGTTCTAAACAGCTTAATTGGGTTATATTATACACCTTCTGGTGGGTGAAAAAGAGATTTCCGCAATGTGCAATAAAGGCGAGGAGTGAGGAAAGAATTTGCCTGTTTTGAATAGGACGAAGCGGCGGCTCTCACTACGCTTGCACGCAGGGAAGGCAAAAGTGCACAAATAAGTCAGGAAAAGCCCGAGAATTCAAAAAATGGAGAAATAGAAGCGGAGGGAGGCATGACTTTTAAAAAAATTATTTTTAAACCCTTTAGCAAGAAAAACATAAGTGTATGCCTTTGAACTTCCAAAATGTCAAGGTCATCACCTTTAACCTTTCTGAATAATTAGGCGCCTTAAGGTTCCTCTGTTATTTTCAACCACCACCCACTCTCTCTCTCTTACTGTGTCTCCCTCCCTCCCTCTCTCACACACCCGCACAACCACACACACAGTTATTACCGCATAGCTGGCCGGATTAGCAAATGCATCATAACGCAGAGAAAGCCCCGGCCGGGTCGAGGTGAGCTCTCGGCGGCGGGCGGGAGCGTGCCCCGCTCTGCTCCGCGCCCGCCTTGGCCCGCCGACTCCCGCGTCCCCTGCCCTTCCCTTCCGCTCACAGAAATTCACCCCAGATCTCCTTTTTTTTAGCTCTAAAAATAAAACAAAAAGGGTTTGGGGATGGGGTTTGAGTTTTGTTTTTTGTTTTGTTGTTTTTTTTTTCTCAAAATGATAATAGGTTAGCTGTTGGAAATGCTTCGTAATGTAAGGAGAAAGATGATCTCTCTATGCCTTTCTCCACAAAGCCCATTAATTAGAAATGCGCGAAGCGGCGGGGAATTTCTCACAGCGTTTCGCCTGACCTTATAGCAAAATTCTCGCGTCTCTCCCGAGCCTTAATCCGCAGGACAAGAACGAGGCGTTTGATTTTTCTGCTCCCTGCAGCGCTTTAACAGTCTACCTCAGCGGATTAATACGCCTTTAAAATGCTAAGACACCGCAAAAAAAGAGCCGCTGAAATAGAAACAACTCAGCATTAATCTTGCATAAACGCTCAAGGACAGCACGGTTACGTTTCTAGTTAAAAAGAACAAGAGAAACCCGTGATCGGGAGCAGACGGAGCCTCGAAGAGAGAACCCCGGGAGAGGCAGGCGGGCGGCCGCGGCAGTGAGCGCAGCGACCACAGGGAGGCGCCCCGAGGCGCTGCAACGCCCACGGCCGCCCGGCTCCCTGAGAATAACCTCACTGCTAGTAAAATAGCTAATATATAAGTAACGATAAGATTTCAGGGCCTTCCAAATGAGAAAATAAAGCATCAAAAAGATTTATTAAACAAATAACCCATAACCGTGACGGGATGGAGAAATACGCCACTTTAAAGGAGAAGAAAAAAAAAATTTGGTCGTAATCTTTTATAATGCATCCGAGCTTTAAAAAAAAACCCACCATAATTTTAAGCAAGAAAAAAGGCCACCAAAACTCCAGTGATATCCCGAATTCGTTCCCTAGAACGAAAATATGTTCATTCCTTTAAGAGCAGCCTTAACGCCAATGAAACAAAAGTAATACAAACCCCATGCGTTTCCACAGTTCATCTTCGGCTCTTAATCCAGGCTTTTCTTAAAATAAACCTTTAGGCACAGAAAGCATAATTTTAAAGACACACTGTACTTAAGGGGAGATTACTGTTAGATCCTAGAGAGGGCTTATTTTTTTTAGAAAGAGCGAGAGACTAAAGCAAAAAGGCAATCTTTTTTAATATTCGAACATCACTTTGCCAAGGCATTCCTGAATGAAATCCCTCTCTTTAAAAGTACTATGGAGATCTATTAAAATGAAAGTAGAGATTAGAAAATTAAAGTGAAGCTTATGAATTTCCTGGATGCTCTCCAGTGATCGAGCATGTTCCGGTTTTTGTTGATTTTCTTCTTTACATTTTCCCTCCAGTGCGCACTTTTGGTCAGAATGTGAGGAAAGAAAGGGCTTCGCTGCTTTCTGCTTTTTTTTTCAGAATTAATCGAAATCTGTTTCACGTTGTTTCAGCCATATTCTGCATTTTTTAAAGTCCCTTCTCTCGTGAAAACATTTGCTGGCACTTTGTCTGCTGGGTTGTTGGGGCTTGGGGTTGGTTTGTTTTTAGAAGTTCATTGTTAACACTTTCCTAGAAATAGCCTTTCCGTCGGTAATAAAATGGCATTGTACAATCTGAAATCCTTGGGATCCCTGACGCCAAAGGTAGTCCTTAGAGGCGCAGCCGGATCCCGAAGGAAAATCCCCTGGTCTCTCGGTGGAGATACCCATTTCGAGAGGGAAACGTTTAGCGAAGTTTTTGTGTTTGTTTTTCTTGGCTTGGGAGTGTTCCTTGTAAGCATCCACACCAACCCCAAACCCATCAGGCTTCATGCTAGGCGCTTTAACAACTCGCAGTTACAGTGAGGCTGATCGCAGCGAATGTGAAGAGTGATGGGAGCCAGGATGTGTTATTAAAAAAAACACAAACAACTATATACCAGAATATGGAAATGCAGCTTCTTTTTTGAATCCTCGTGTAAATGTGATGATTTCCACGATCCTATAACCCCTTCTATTATTCCCCCCCCCCCCTTCTCTGTTTTATTCCTTTAGACAGAAGAAGCTGTGAGCTATTTCCAAGTGTCTATGGGCTTGTCCTTTAAGGAGAACGAAATGGATATTTGCTTCTTTTCTGATTAAACTACACATGCGGTAGGAATCTGCCGAAAGATAAACACGCAGCCCAAATACCGAGGCTGAGGTCTGCATCTGCGGCCAACTTACAGGCTAAAATCTCATCGTAGCAGATACTCGCTTCTCTGTCCGCAGAAATATAGAAATACAATAGAGGAAGGGTTGAGGCTTCGGGTGATGCTGAGAGGACAGTCTGGGCTCCTGTGCGATCCCCACGCTCAAAAACACCTTTGAAGAAAAGACCATCATACTATTTTATTTATTTTATAAGCTTTCATATTTAGGAAGAGGCATAATGTCATCAGTATGTCATCCCGTACCCCCCCGCGTCCGGTCTGCCCCCGACCCCCTCGGTCAAAAAATCCAGGGAATCTGAGCCCTCAGCCCAGACGCCGACTGTCTGTGAAAATATGGCACATAGAAATCTGGGCAACGTGACAGTTGTATTATTAAAAGAAGAAAGGACACGATATCGTAGCCAATTTTTTTTTTTCGTCCCTGAAATAAAAACTATTCTTCAATCTCCCTGCAATATAACATCATGGCATAAAATATACCATCCTCGCCTTTAAAGACACCTTAAATGAAATGCTGAAATCGAGTAAATGAAAGGAAACTTCCTAAAAGCTTCCTGGGTTCCAGCCTGGTTTTTAAATAAGATATTTCCCTCAACACCTTTGTTACTGAAGGCATCTGCAAAATATCTAGCCTGTTTCGTACCTCGCTCCCATCCCCCTCACATAATGAGACACAAACAGAGCAAATTGCAACTATGAAAATCCTCAGCACAGCCGAGACAAGAAATAATAATCATATCACCAGTAATAAGGTTTAGGAAGATAAGGCAGTGAAAATTAAGCCCTGCTGCCACGTCTGGTAACCTCAAGTTTTAGTCCTGACATTTGCTAGAGGAGAAAACTGTAATGTCCACCTATGCTTTATTACAAACAGTGATTTACATCTGCATGGACCCATTGGTTGTTGGTTTTTTTTTGGTTTTTTTTTTTTCTCCCTCGTTGGGAAAAATATGGGGCTCTGAGAGCCAAACCTTTATATTAATGTAGATTGTATATCTCATTTATTGCACAATATTGATTTATTTATTAATGTTAATTACTTGATTCCATTTTAATATGATTTAGAACAAGAATGACATTGAATGCCCAGAGCCTAAGTCCCCAGTTCCCCAGTGGCTCTCACATGTTTATTCAACTTCTATTTACATCAAACTTAAACTTTCCTACTGTTCATTTTCAATAATAAAAAAATGCTGCCAGCTTTTAAACTCCCTAATGATTTATCATGAGCGAAGTGTCTTACGGAGCCGTTTACCAGTCCTGAATACGATATTTAAGTCATTATCATCGCAACCATCAGCTGAGATCCCGTGTAGTGACATGCGAGAAATGCATATTTTCAGTTGAAAAAATCAAAGAACCCTCATGTCTAATCAGGAGCCGAGCAGTCAGCTCCCTCAGCACCGGCCAGGCTGGCGTGGAAGGCAAGCGCAGCCTTTGCTTATTGTTTTAACTTCGCTGCCGGGCGAAACCCGCTGTAGAGCTCTGGGCTCACACTTCAGCTGGGATATTTCTGGGACCCCCTTTTCTGCAAGTGTAAATAAAGATTAT